GTTCAGAAACATTGTATTGTATTTTCTTCAGACATTGTATGTAGTAACTCTTAGAAAGTCTGTGACACTGTGACACCAGGTTTTGGGGTATTTGAGGTTTTCAAAAGTTGTAATAGACATAGCCTTAAGATTTATAATTGTTGACATCCGCTTATTTATTTAAAATTCCGCTTTTATTATATTATCGGGTTGTGTTTGTGAAAAGAGGCAAAAATGAAAGTGTAGCAAGCAGTTAAGGTTTGACTTGCCTAACTCCCATTAGTAAGCGCCATCACGACTCCCGAGGGTGGGAAATCCGGGTCGTGACATAGTGCTCAGACATTTTTGGTGTCATGAGAGAAAATCATAATCAATTGACAATATAAAGGCATTTCTAAATTTATAAACGTAAGAAATTAAGAATTTCAGTATTTTTACTACCAACTTTGTGACAAATATCTTCTTCAGGGAGAAACGCATTAACATCTGAATATTTTATATCAAAGCGGTAACTAAATAGTCATTACATCCTTGAGGGAAAGATACATGAGTTGTTATTTCCTTCGAGGAACTAGATAACTAACCACAACATATTAATGTGGTTGTAGTAGAAAGCATTCTATAAGAATAATTTTGCCTTGGAATGATATTTAATAAAGATTTCCAAGATATTTTACGTACAACGGGTACGTACGACAATGATCTTTATGCCACAAAAACAAAATTTATATCCTTTGTTATTCTACCTCTTCAGGAGGTGAGTTGTGGTATTTCTTCATTCACTCCAGGGAATGAAAATGTACTTCAAAAATAACTTTGAATAGCTTATTATTTTGTTTAAGCACAGAAAGACATAGTTTCATAATATTTTCCTGCTTCTGGAGAAAATTTCAATTGTGTTACTTCTTCAGGAGAAAATTTAAAATATGAAATATTGAGTATATATTCTCACAATCATATTACCTCTTCTGGAGGTGAATTGTAATATATGCACATCAAAAGTCCGTTCATATTTACGAGCTTTATAAATATTGTCACATTCACTTCAGGAATGAATTAATATTTATCAAAAGTTCTCATCCTTCAGGGAACGGAACATAATTATTTGAATGTGCATTAATCACACCAAATTGTGTGACGGCTTAGAACATCTTTTAAGATATTGCTACTTTAGGAGAAAATCAAGGCACGCAAGTAATATAGAGAATTTATTTCTAACTTATCTTCAATTGTAACCATAAAAAGCTTAAATTATCACTTTTGATGGTTATAGGCATATACCACTTCTAGTGGTTAACAAAATTTAGTTACAATGAGATATACAAAATATAATCACTTCTTGTGGTTATATATATCTTGCAAACTCTGTTGGAGTTTAGGTGGATCCAACAATGTTATCCACTTTATAATCCTTTATTAAGATAATTAGGATGAAGAAAATACATACCAAAATAGGTACTGTATACGTAGCATATAACCAAGCAAGTGATAATAAAGATATTAAACCAAATATAAGCAAAAGACTCCAGTTACTTTACACAAATTTGGCCACTCCAGATGTAAGTGATATCCACATTTTTACCGCCAAAAAGAAAAGCTCACCACCTCAAGGATATAACCTGCCTGATGATGCTCGGAATGAACAAGATTTAACCTCGGATGTAAGAGCGTCGTCTTACATTGGTGATGAACACTGAAATAGAAATTAAATTCGAAGTAAGTGCTCAAAATGGCAGAGTCTCGTGCTGATAACGTATTATAAAATAAAGATTATAAAGTAAAGACAAGTATATAGAGAAACTGATGTATCATTCAACTTTCAAACTGGTGTACATAATGAACTGAAATCTCCTCTATTTATAGAAGAAAAGAAGTTGTTGTGTAAGCTGCTACTGCAAGCTGTTGTGTAAGATGCTTGTAAGCTGCTATTGCAAGCTGTTGTGTAAGCTGTTACTACAAAGCTACTGTGTAAGCTTCTTGTAAGTTGTTTGTAAGCTGCTACTGTACCAGATATAGATAATCTTCTTCCGGTCCAGATATAGACAATCTTCTGCCAGGGATAATATTTATCCATAACGGAGTACCGAAATGATAAGCTTCTTCGGGAAGCTTATTTCCAATAGAGTGCTAAATAGATAACCATATTTACGGCGGAGTCCCATATGGATAAGCTTCTTCAGGAAGCTTATTTACAACGGAGTACTAAATGAATATTTATAATATAATATATATATTTATAACAATTTTCGATTTTTTTTTGGCCTTAGAATATTATTCTTCTAGGAAAAGTGTAACGTGGCCGAGGAGCCAACCGTTATTGTGTGGGGAACCAGACATTAGTCACGAGTCGTCCGCATCTCCCCCATTTGTATGCTATGCGTTTCATGTGGGCTTTAAAAAAAATTCTTTGTTAATTTATTCTTGTTTTTTATAGTAAAAAAAAATTCTTATTTTATTAGAAGTGATAGACTCACCCCGTCACATAAAAGTGAAGCTGACTACCACAAATAGACATTTCTATTTTACCTAATAGACATTTTGGAGCATAAAAATCTTTCTTTTTGGAAAATAATTTTTTTTGGTAATCATAGTGTCCGGATCAACTTATGCGTACCTAATCTATTCTGCGAAGTAATTGCTATTTGTATCGAAAAAGTTTGTTTACCAAACTTGAACAAATTGAAAAAGATTACTTATTATTTTGCCTCTATTAGATTTTAAACCTGAAATCTCACGATTTTCAACTCACTTCATTAATTACTAAGCCACCTTAAGTGCAAAATAATTAGAGATATATTCTAGTGAAAATAGTTATGGAAAAGAATGTGTTTAGATTCTCCTTTTTTTCCTTTTTTTTTTGTGATTTTGTGGGTGTTTTCTTCTCTAAAGAAGTGACTGAAAGCACTTTTAGACTGTAAATTTTGAAAAGCTTTTCCCAAGAACTTAATTAGATAGTAACGTATTTTAAGAAATATGAAAACTTTTAAGAAGAAATTCCACGAACATAACCATTTCTACTGAAATTTCATGCAAATCAAATTATTTTCCCTATCATTTGGGAATAAATTACAATTAACACCCTTCTTCTTAGACTTTTCTGAAGTCATAGAACAGTCGTACTTATGTTTAGTTAAAAACATTTAACTTTTAATTAATAAAAAATTGTTTTTTTGGACTCTTTATGTAGGAAATGCAGACAATTCTTGCAACTATATTACCTTGAAATATACAACAAATAATGCAAATAAAACATAATACATGATCATACAACAACAACAACAACAACAACTTAATACCCAATATTTCACAAATGGGGTAAAACATAATACATGAATAATTAAATAGTTTAAGAGTTAACAATTCATGAAATTTAATTCACAATTGAACTAAAAGTACGCGTTTCACTTAATAGAAAATAAAATATACTTAATCATATCTCACGAGCATAAAAGTAGATATTTGCCAACAAATGATGGATTAAAGCTGCAAATTTTGTAACTATCATGCTCCCTTCGGCCCCATATATATGATTTTCTAGTATTCTTAAAATACCAAGATAAATAATTATTAAAAATAGAAAGAATTACAAGAAAATACATATGACTTCACACCATAATAAAAAATGGCCCATGTTTTTAAGTTTTACCCGACCTAGCCCATATTGTACATATTTTGAAAACAAAGCTCTTGCAAATTCAAAATTTGTGTTCTTACAACCATTGCTTCTAAAAGCTATATAGTTAAATTTGTGTTCTCACAACCATTGCCTTCACTCTCTCTTCTCCTCACATCTTTTACATATGGTTCAAGGAGTCGTCCGCCATTATTGCTTCTCCCCCTATGTCACCTGGTTGCAATGTAAAAAAATTGATGAGTAGAAGTCCACCATTGAAGGTCATTCAAAGCTTTGCTTTCGAAAATAAGACTTTTTGAGTTTGTTAGTTATTTGGATTGGGTGTTGTTCCAATTGATTGAAAATATGAAAAGGAGTTCAAAATCTAAGTTTGAAGTGATTTGGAGTAGATTTGAGCAAGATTTGAGTTAAATTTCAAAAAAGATGCAAGGAACAAGACGAAGTCAGTTTTTTGTATAATTATGTATACTCTTGTATAATAGTGTATATGAGTGTATAAACACATCTTATACACTATTATACACCTTTATACAAGCTTCTGTAGATGAACTTCTTCCACGATTTTCAGTTGCAATTCTTGTTCAAAACCAGTCCAAATCTCCATTAAATGACTTCAAGTTTTATATACAACTTCCTTATACTATTTCTAACAAGTCTAAATAACACCCACTCCAATTTCACACCAAATCAAATTCAAAATTTAAACTCACATATTTAAGCTTGTTAAAAATCTAATTTTCACCGCCCAAATGAATTTGGTTTGTTGAACTAATATTTGAGTCACAGTTACTGATTCGAAAATTAACTTAAAAGCTTGAGCAATCTTTTTTTAAAAATTAAATAGTAATATTGAGAACCTATTAGAGTTGGATGTTAAATTTTAGCCTATTATTTTTGGGCTAGTTGGTTGTAAATTGAAATATGAGCTATAAAATTGAAAAGCAGGGAGCTCAGTTATTTCTATGCGAAATTTTTCCTTAAAAATATCAAGAAAGGATAATTAATTTTTTTTTTTCAAAATATCTTTATCTAAAAATAATAGAACAAATTTCTAAGAAGTTTTTCAAAGAGAAGAGATAAAAGTCTTAAGTCTTTTAAAAAAATAACCATCTATATTAATATTATTTAAGTAATTTTTTCAATGGATGTGACAAATTCTAAAAAATAACTCATATAGAACCGGAGGGAATAATGGATAATTACAAGCTCATCCATTTTTTCCTTTTAATATCATGTCAAATCAAATCAAATCAAATTGTTTTTTCCTCTATTTTGTGAATAAAAAATTAACATTAGCATCCTTTTCTTGGACACATGTCAGTATATTCTAAGTAAAAAACACACTCATACTGTATTTGCTTACTTCAGTTTACGTTTGTACAGCAAAAAAAATGGCAAAAAAATCCATAAATTGCTCAAATTGACTCTCTCTCTCTCTCTCTCATTTCTTCATTCATCTTTTTTTTAAAACCCAAAAAAGCTTTATATGTTGTTCTTCACCAATCAGTAATCACTCTACTCACTACTCTCTCTTCTGTCCCTTTCCTTTTACGGGTAAGTTCTTTTTCCCACTTTCAATTCTCAAATTTCACCGGAAAAAAAAAAGTTATCTCAAATTTTCAGCTCTTTTTTCATTCCCAATTGTGTTTTGGGCATGTAATTATGATATATTTTTTTGGTTTATTTGGAGTCTTTAAAATTTATCAATTCTGGGTTTTAATTTATTTTTTTCTCTCTTTCAGTTAGCAAATTTTAAGGTCTTTTTTTTAATTAACAATTCTACTGGCGCAATTGTATGTGTTTTTGACATGTGTTTATGGTTTTCTCTTTGGAGTTTTCCAAATTTTATCAATTCTGGAATTTAATTCATTTCTGATTACCATGTGGGAATAACAAGCTGGGTCGAACACCACCCTTATTTAAAAAAAAAAATTAATTATGTTTTAGCTCTCTTGCTCTGATTTATTTTTCCAACGCTGATATAAATTCTAGGAAAGATTATGTTAATTGTTTGGAATGATCTTTTTTTGTTCATTAATAGATTCAGTAACTATATGAATAAAGGCATCTCATTTTTTAGTAGTTGAAAAGGATTGTATTATTAATTTTTGGGTGGTGTGGCGGTGCTGAGGTGTCTCTTCTGCTAAAATTACCAAAAAATTCAGAAAGAGAAAAGCTTTTTGAAAATATTTTTAATAGCCATGGCTTGGGATTATTTANTTGTGAGGAACTTAGGGATGGAAAACGGTGTGGTACGGTGCGGTTGTGGGGCATAATTAGGTACAGAAAATTGCTAAGAATAGAAGAAAGTTAAACCTGGATTTCTTATTAATGTCCACTAAATATGGTGGAAAATAAAGATATTGACGCATATATGTGATATATCTGCTAAATGTTTCAAATAAATTGAATTGAGAACTGATCTTAATCTTATTGAAGAACTTGTTCAATGTTTTCGTCAATCAGTTCTCCAATTGGTGTTAATGTGTTTGACAGTAAAAATGAAGAAGGTTAAAATGATATAATGAGAATTTCCTCGCATAAACCAAAGATACAAAATATAATTAACAATTGATATGAATTTAAAAAAAGAAGATTAAAAAAAGCTTGTGTAAACCTGCATAAACCTGCGTAGACCCGCAACCCACCCCGCCCCGCATCAGTTATTAAAAGAATGGCTTAAACCGCCCCACACCTGCACCCACCCCGCATAGTCTTATACCCTCCCTGCCCCACATAGCCCTAAACTCGCCCCGCACCGCCCCGTTTTCCATCCCTAGTGAGAGTGAGGATGAGGGTGGACAGTGGCTATTCAGAATTTAAATTCTTACTGTAGAACCTTTTGCATTTTGCAATTAAGGGTGCATAATTTAATATTTTTTGAAATTTTAGTCCTCTCTCTGTCCCAATTTATGTGGCGGTTTGACTTGGCATGGATATGATCTAAAATAAACCATAGATATTTATTTGGCTGTAAATCTGTTCCTTAAGGGTGAAGTTGGAATTTTAAAGATAAATTGTTTCTAAATTACAAAAGATGACATTCTTATTGAGACTGACTATAAAAGGAAAGAATATCACATAATTTGAGACGGTGGGAGTAATTTTTATATAGACATATACCCTATGTATGGAAAATGTTGGTTTTGGTTGAACCTGTAGCAGACATACCACATACGCCTCTTGGGTGGAGGGGAGGATGAGGGAGACATGTATACGGTTAAGTTGCTATGGTTTTTGGTTCTTGTTGTAAAACAAACAAACAAACAAACAAACAAACAACCGCCCAATATAATCCCACAAATGAGGTTAGTTCTTGTTGTAAAAGATGTGAGAAAAAGAATAGCTATACAAGTACAAAGAAATCGGAGGAAATGGGAAAATAAGATTTTATACTTGACTCTATCCTCCCGAGATGTTGGTCTTTTTCCCTTTCCTGAAAAGAAAAAAAATTTAGCTCATTGTTAGTTTGAGCAGTCTTGACAAAATTTGGTTAAAAGGTTAAATTTACTTGTTTATGGTGCAAGAAAGTCTAGTGGCATGTCTTTACTATGTGTATTTTGCTATGTGTGTGTGTATTTTATTTGGAAAGTACGCAAGCGAGTTGACAAGTAATTTGCCTTTTACTGGATATTTCACAACTTATTGTTGCCTGGAAATTTTTTCAAATTGCTAATATTATTAGGGTAACTCATGAAACTTTCTTTTTTTGTTAGTTCCAGTTTTATAAAGACTTTCAGTTCACTAAGCTTTTGGTGGGTCACTTGTGGCTTTCTTGTTCTTGTTCTTTCTTCTTCACGAGTAGAACGGAAAGATTCATGGTAGTTGCTTTTGAAGAAAAGAACTAAAAAGATGATCATCAAACATGCTTTCCAAGTCGAAATAAACGCTGTGATTGTCAAATATTAATCTATTTATCCTATGTATCCTTCATTAGAGTTTAGATCATTTTGGCTGAGGCGGAACCAAGATTTCAATGTTATGGGTTTAGATTTTAGAACAACGACTTCAAGGCTAATAACTGGGTTCTTAATTTTTGATTTTGTTCATATACACTAATTTAGCAAAAGCTACTGGGTTCAGCTGAACTCGTACTCGGGCGTCCAGCTCCGCCCCTGCATTTTGGTAGTACATGGAACCCCATATGCTTATAACTGTAGATTCCCTAAACTTGATTTGCTAAAATACTTTGCTAGGGAAGCATGCAATCAAAGTCCAAAAGTGCAATCTGCCGGGAAGCCAGAACTTTTAATGTTCCGAATTCCATTGTATATTCTGAACCTTGGTGGAATACTGCTGGCTATAATCCTGTTTCTCTGGGATTGATGCGGGAATGTGCATCAGATTCGTCATCACGGGAACAATCTGTGGATGGCCGATCACAATCTGATGGTGGAGCCAAGGAGGAAGATGATGATGCTCCTGAAAACTCACAAAGTACCATACCTATGCATTCAGGTATCTTGTTCAATCTTGAAAGTTGCTAAAGATAAACCACTATGGTCATTGACAGAGTGATATGGCTTGTTTTTCTTCATTGGTTTCTTTCTGACAAGTATTCTACTATTTTCTTGCTATATATATATATATATAAGAGGCTGAACTTCCATTACTTCTGCTCATTACTCTGAAAAGAGTTAAATCACCATACAAGTTGGAAATATGAAGATGCAGCTCCAGCTATTAAAAACAATTTTATTGTTTGTGTTGCATCTAATAAAAGCATGTTGTCAAAATCTTTTTTTTTTTTTTTGGTTACTTCAGGTTAGTGGAATTAGTTAATAGCATCAGCACTTTATGGATTATCTTGATCTTTTTCGTATTTTCGGAGGTATGCAACATTGGTCATGTGTCGTCTGTTAATCAACTTTAGTCTGTAGCACAAATTGAGGATAAAAGAGAGAAGGTAGCTTGAGATCGTTTGGTCATGTCTTGTCAAGATGTACCTATCTGTAGGTGCGAAACCATGGTGAGTGTAAGTGCTTCAAGAGGACGAAGTAGACCTAAAACTACATGGAAGGATATTGTTTGGAAAGACCTATACTCTCTTGGAATTCATGCAAACTTAGCGAGAAATAGGGTGCAATGGAATAAAAGATATATATAGGCGATACCATTTAGTTAAAAATATGTTTTAGGTGTGTTAGTACATTTACTTTAGGTCCTATGTTTTCTGGGTGTCTTTTAGCCCTAAAAGAGATCTATATACCATTAGAAAATTTAGAGAACCACTTACCAAAAGAAGAAAATATAGACAAGTTCTAGTACTATTTTTTCTTTTATTTTGTATAACATTAGTCTGAAATGAACTTAAATGGAGTGACATGGTCGGTGAGGATTCGTATAGCCGACCCCAGCTTGCTTGAGGTTGAGGCATAGTTGTAATTGTTGTTGCTGCTAAGGATTGGAAGCATGCCATGATACTTCATTTGTCTAGTTACTTTCCCTTCCTTTTTTAATCTTTTGCCATAGTGGGAGAAATGAAGGTGCGATATTTGTTGAGGACGGAAGTGCAGTGGTAGAGATGGGAAAAATATATATCTTTCACGATCTTAATGGCTATAAATTACTTAAGTAATGCTAATGCAGTCTTGTTTTAAATTTAGATGGGGAAAGGAGTTATCCGCAAGTTGATCAAAATTTACAGCCAATTGCATCAACCATACCTCCAAAGGGTGATGGGATCCAAATACATCCCGGACAGCTTGAACCTGTTATGCACTCAATAGTAAGTATGTTTGACTTTTCTATGGGGCTTGAGAAGTTTGGATCTGCTTGCGGAGTTATCTCACTGGTAGATGTCTTCTTTTTTTCCCCCTGATTTTGAAGTTATTCTGTAATTGACATGCAGGCTTGTGCTCCAAATCTATATGCTGACCTGTACTACGGGGGGATGATGACACCTTTTGGTCAGCCTATGGTATGCATGTGGTTTGAATTCTGAAGTCAACGTCCATTTTTTTAGTATTTTCCTCTGTACACTTGTCTAAATAATTAAGAGGACTGCGTGCACCCCACCCTCCCCAGACCCCACTTGTGGGATCACACTGGGTATGTTGTTGTTGTAGAGGACAATTTACTTTTCTGCCAATTTTAACTATGATGCCTCTGGACTGCTCAAGTGTATTATGTCCTTATGGATATCAAACATAGAAATCAATCGCAAAAAATAGAAATAAAAAAGATATCGAAACATGATATCTGCTTCTATGTGGTTGTACAATGTGTCTTTTGGAAACTACTAAAGCATACTCTTTACTCTTTCCGTTGAAGTAAAAGATTGGCACTNCCTCTTCCCCCAGGCACCACCCCCAAAATGGAGTAAGATAATGTCATATTACTCTTCTTTTATCTGTGCAGAGTGTTGTTTCCCACTTTATTTTTTTCCACTGTTGAGTCGAAAACACCACTGATGGTGAAAGGAACTCTGTAGGCCAATGTTTTGGTTATTAATACCATTATGAGTTTCTCTGTCGCTGTATTTTTCTTTTGAATTCACAAGATTGGCTGAAATGGTTTTGCACGAATTCATGCTGGTCATATTTGAGATGTGCTCGGTTTATTCTGTTTACTCATCCTCATTACTGATATTTCCTCTCTTCCTCGATAATACAGCCATATCTTCACGAGTCGCGACATCAGCATGCTTTGAAAAGGGCAAGAGCTTCCGGAGGGCGTTTTGCAAAAAAGTCAGATACTGATACTTCAAAGGGAACCGGTTCTGGTTCTGGTTCTAAGTTCTAACCCGGATCTTTCTGCGTTGTGAGGTTTAGTACTTTGGCAGAGGGACTGAATCTTATCTGATCATATCAGTAGTTATATGTTTCAGTCTTGGTTTGTTCGAGACTGGTGGCAGTTCATCCTTGGCTTTTTATTTCAATGTTATGGGAAGGAGAGGTTGTCCGCGTTGTAAATTCAGTTCTTCCCTTCTGTAGAAAAAAGAAAATGGATTAAGACTAGCGTTGAAAAGGAAGACTTTAGTAGGCATATGGCTACTAAATGTTGTGTAATTTAAGGGTATGTAAAGTTGTAGGTATGCTGTAGACTTGTCATATTTCCTTTAGGTGGATGTAAAGTTGTAGGTAGGTTGTATACTTGTCATATTTCCTTTAGGTGGATGTAAAGTTGTAGGTAGGTTGTATACTTGTCATATTTCCTTTCTGTTGCTGTATCTTAGGATCCTGATTTTGTGGAACTTCTATTTTGTTTATTTAATTTGATAATAGTGGCATTGTGTTCCTGGGCTTTATGATGACGGTAGAATCTGGAATATCTTCCACGTGATGAAATTCGCGCAAGCTGGTCTGGACACAATCGATTAGGTTGGGGGGGGGGGGGTTTGTAGTGTGAGGTGAAAGTTTGTCTGCAATGGCCGGTGATGTTGAACTTTGTATTGGCTCGGTAAGGTATTAACTCCATAATAGGAGTGAGTGCTGTTGCAGATTGATGCGCAGCATAAAGCTAGTCAATTTATGAAAAATTCCCATAATACAGAATGTGGAGAGAAACTGATAATGAGGATCTATACATCAACTAGTTTGGAATCAAAGCATAGTTTTCCCTTATACTTGGCAGGGAGTCAAGTGTTAGCAGGATCAATCTTGATTTGACATCTTTAAAGAACATGAACAAGTACAATTATACGCAAAGGTACCACAACTTAACAAAAATAATGCTCTCTTTATTTCATTTTGTCTCTCTTTACTTATTAATATGTCCCAACAAAAGAACATATTTTTATATTTAAAAATAATTTAACTTTAAACTTTCTATTTACCTTTAATAATGTGCTTTTATAGAGATAACATGTTAAATATCAAAAGTTTAAAAAGTTTTTCTTAAACGTCATGTCTAATCAAATATTGCCACATATTTCTATAACTTTATTTGCTGCTAGCAGTTAGGCTTTTAACCTTACATTGATTGATGGAACAAACAGCTTTGTTCATCAAGGACAATATACAAGTTGACACTCGACATAAATTGTGAATTTCTTTCTATCAAACATAAATATTTTTTAGTCTTGAAACCAAGCTTCAAAATATTACTTAGGGGACTTACCTTTCTTGGCTCTCAAATTTAGTTAAGTTACCAAAATAGAGTGCCGCATTATACTTGACGGTAAAAGAGAATCAGCACAGCAAAAAAGGTACAAAAGATAGCTGATACCAAAATCAAAATCTTGAAAGCATATGATTCAAACATTTATAAATTACAAGTCACTTTGCTGATGATCACTATCTTCTACATTTCCAGTAACATCCCCAATTTCATCTTTGGGAATGGTTTCTTCGTCTAGGTCATCTGGGAAATTAACTTTTTCACTGCTACTTTTGCTACCATCAGGTGCATTATCGTTAGACTCGGTGACATTGACCACGGTTTCCATCATCCCTGACAGAGCCTGTCTAGGAGACCACTCAAGCACATCATCGATAATGTTCGAAACTCGCCTCTGATACCTGCAAGGTAGATAAAAAAGAATTTCAGTTTCAGCAGGGTCTATCCCAAAAAATCAGTATGTCCGAAAAACAGAAAGAGAATTTATATAGCAGAATAAAAGAACAGATTCGAAACCCCCAGGGATTTGGTTTTGGTCTAGTGGTAAAGGCGCAGTGCATGATCTGTGAGTTAGGTACATGTTACGAGTTCGAACTCTTTGCCAAAGCCTAAAGCCTGATATTAAACTTGATCCACTGTGTTTCGAACCATACGCCAGTTGGCCCTCAGAAATTTCTCGGTTAAAAAGAAAAGGGACAGATTCGAATCAGAAGCCTCCACCAAATTGCTGGCTCGCGGTTCCTAGGTTGACTAAATCAATTCTCAAAATATGACACCCTTTTTTTTTCTTTAACCGAGAACTCCCCAACCAGTGGTACATAGTTCAAAACTCGGGGGATAATAGGTTCGCCTCTCTACCCTTCTCCACTTAAATACAGTTTTTGTTTGCGGCAGAGTACGAACCTGTGGTGTGCGCCTAACCACACATCATGTGCTGCACTATTATCACTAACCAAAGCCCTGGCGGCTTCTCAAGATATGAAACTAAATTGCAAGTTATTTGCCCGTGAAGTTAATCTGTATGAACATCCAGAATCTAGTGCATCGAGATTGTTTCCAGGAAATCTCAACATATACAAATTGATTTTTATTCTGTTTCCTCAAATGAACTCATAGGCTTGAGAGATAAAAATGCAAGCAAGCACACCTGGCTCTTGCAGCCTCATCAGGAGCGTGATGCCTCAGAAGCAAAACAACAAGCACAGCTACTATTGCATAGAAAAGCCTTGCTGTCCACTTAGGTCGCTCGCCCTCATCCTTCTGAGGCCAAAACTGGAACAAATCTTGCAGCGTTGCTTCCTCGGCAAGAATGTTGGGAAAGAACCAGACACGCTTTCCAAAAAGTACCCATATGGCACCAAAGATCAAAGCTCTTACTGCAAGCATAAAAAAAATCTTTTGTAATGGCAGTTTACTTCAAATTTCAAATAGCAGACTCAAAAATACATGACAAGCTTGAAGACCATGACTTGAACAGCCCGAGCCACCATTTTACACCAGAAAAATTACCCATAAATAAAGGAAATATTACAGGCACCACTACCAGCAGAAGTGCTTTAATAAAATTTGTCAATGTGTGCCATTTAGATTAGAGGATTCAAGTGAAGGATAACAAAATATGATTGGCAATTTCCATAAATCTGTCATAGACAAAAATAGAAAAGAAGCTTTCATAGGGTTTCTATGATACAGACCAGTAGGAGTATTTTAGAATTAGAAAATTCTAAGCAGTTGGCTGACTGAACTTGTTGGACAAATAGATCAAGGCCTGACTCCACAGTAACAGGTAGAAACGGAGTTGAATATATTTACTTTTAAGCCTATAAGAAAAAAACAAATGAAAAAAGTACCGTCGAAAGGTTTTCCATGTGAGAAACATGTAGGGCAATATAAATTAATTTTCTTTTTTACGTTTCCTCTACATATGAATGGTAGACTGTACCTCCAGTCGCTAATCTCAAGCAAACCAAGATTTTTTTTGCTTCGTAGTCGATCAAACAAATATTTGGTGTTTGAGTGATATATAAAACAGCAAATCTTTGTAAGTAGGTTAAGGTTTAATACACTTCTGTTCCACCTTTTGCAACTATGGATGATTGAAGGACCTATCGACTTGCTAAATTATTTGATGCATCCCCCATGTCACAATATTACGATTGTCAGAAGCTGTTAATTTTTTCAAGTATTAGTGTGGCCACATCACGGTGCATCATACAGCTCTACACACAAAAATGAAGCTGAATAACAAGGAAATTTGAGAAGTGAAAGGGTAACAAGCACCAAATACTTACTGAATAGCAAACAAAGTATGAGGAGGAGGAGACCGGCGCATGAGTATAGTATAAGCAATTTGACTGAATGGGGATAAACAGGAAACAAACAGATTGCTAACGTCAAAACCGGCCAGAAAAATGAGAGAAGTGTTTGCCACAAGGGTCTCCTATTTACAAATGTCCATGCAAAAAAGGCGTCATTTTCAGAAAATGCTTGATCCTGCACAACACCAATTGAACAAAATAACATCAAAAAGGTGTAAGAAAACCATTGTAAAAGAATCATTAGGGTAAACAAAAAATTAAAATTCAGTCAAAATGTGGAAAATTCGTATAAAGCTCTAAAAGATAAATAGAACACTTTCTAAAGAAGTTTGCTCCAAGAACACCATTTTTGAATGTCTAACTTCTTAGGTGGAATTTACACTTTTCTTTTCTTCTTCTGCTATCAGAAACAGGAAGTTAGTAATTGACAAACCAGCCTTCAGTTACAGCTTCATAACTATTGAGCAATCACAACATGAAGATCATGGATCACAAATGAAGAAATTTATGGGGTAGCTTCTGTTACCATTTAAAAAAAAAGATAATTTATGGGGTAGCTTGTCAGCAAAGTGGCACTTCACCATTGAAGTGTTTATTACTGTTTTTTCTTCCATGGAAATTGGAGAGAATTCAATAATGGATAGAGAGGGAAAAAACAGGTAAAAGAATATAGAGAATAATGTCCTCAGTTCCTTCTGGTTGCGATGATTTAAATCTTTAATTTGTTCAAGAACTGCGTTAAAAGGCAAGTGTATGGGTTGGGTGTAAGCTGTAGATATTTTATTTTCAGTATGCTAAAAGACGAATTTAATTTTAAAGAGCAAGAAAAAGTGGAACTGTATGTAAAATTGTAGAAAATCAAGAAATAATTACCAAACAAGGTGAAAATAACTTCCACGTTTAGATTTTTTGATAAAGTAAGCAAACTATACAGAATTGACTCCTATGTAGAAGCGATAGAGAAAGAGTCAACAAAAGCCAAAAATTAATTCAAAACACTTTTCCCAACCGTGCAGATTCAAAAGACATCTAGCTATCAAAGCGGAGATTAAGGTTGCTTCTCCTTCGAAGCATCTTCTATTCCTTTCTTTCAATATTGTCCAAAAATGACAGCTGGGGATGGACTGCCACAGCTTCCTCTCTGTCTTTCTGAACTTTCCAAAGAGTCCAGCTGCTGAAGGTTTCATTTATTCCATTAGCTGTGACCAACTGCAAGCCAAAAGGGTTCAGGAACATATTCCAAGCTTCCTTTGTTACATTGCAAAAAGGTCTCTCGCATACACATTCTGACGGAGGTAACATCTATTGCTTAGTTTGAATCCTCCATTCATTAGATTGTCCTTGGTAAAAAACGCCTCATGCATCAGAATCCATGTGAAGCAATTTACCTTTATGGGGGCCTTTGTTCTCAGTAAGATTTTCCAAGGCCAATTATATATTTAGTAGCATATATATTTGCTGAAATATCACTGCTGGCTGATATATTTCCATGGGCCTATTCCAAGTGGCAGAGTAAATATTCTTGTCCTCCATTGAGATTGCATTCCATGCTTGGCACAATTACTTTTCTCCACTAAGTCTCTTATTGATATTCTTTTCATAATCGAGAAACCCCGTGGGGCAGTGGCACACCATTTGAAACAAAGTGGATATGGGCCCGCCCCTCTACCCTTCTCCACTCAAATACCAGGCTTTTGTCTGCAGCAGGGTTCAAATCTATGACATGCACCTAACCCACACATAATGTGATGCGCTCTTACCACTAGATCAAAGCCCCGAGGGCACCTCTTTATTGATATTAAATCTGCACAACCATTTCATCGAGAGGGATTGGTTGTGTATCTTCAGATTTCTAAACCCAAGCTATCTACCTCCTTAGAATTCATAACGTTTCTGCTATTGACAAGGAGGAATTTATGTTGCTCGTGATTTCCTTCTCACTGGAATTTGCTCCTCAACTTATCCAGTTGTTTTTCCACTTTTCAGGTGATTGGGAACTGTGATAGGTAGCAGCCTAGCAGGTAGGTAAACTGTCCAAGACACTAGCCTACCTCCCATTGACAGGTACTAAATTTTCCATGAGGCCAACTCCGTCACATCTTTCAATTACATTCTCATCAAACTCAGTTGATTTGTATTTAGAGCCCAAAGGCAATCCCAAATACTTTGTAGGGAATATAAGTACATCGTATGTACCAAGTTACTAAACTCTAATCATAGAACAAAACATGCAAGTCATAGACAAATCCTGCACAAAACAACATAATTTAAAAACAAGAAATTGTGTGGGGTGAGCACGTGGCCAATGCCCCACCTATTGGGTAGTTTCGTTCTATTAAACTATCGATCCTTATGATTATTCCACGACATGTAGAGCCCCATCGCACAGGGGTAAAAGCAAGAAGGGAAAATAAAGCAAAGCATTGTAAATGAATTGAGGAAAGGTACCAGCATATATCGGAGATATATTTGCCGAGACTATTCACACAGACCCTAACTAATTTGGAATTGAGACATAATTTAAAAGTGGCTAAATTGATATATTTGCAGAGACGATTCACTCATATTCATATTGTTTTATAGATTAAGAAAATAGCAGCTTTAAGGAGTAATGATACGTGGATCAGATCTGAATTTAGGGTCTACTGAAGGAGTACCAGTTGGACCAGCCAATTACATCGAATTTATCTTCTATAGATATGTCCAAACTAAGACAGTTCTAAAAATAAATATCAATATTTCAAAAACTAGATCCATGCGATTTTTCTGGCCCAAGAGTTAGCTCAATAACGAACCAAAATAACCTTAATATTTCTCCAGGTCGATATGCAAAGTGCAAGTTAAGATCAAAGAATTATTAACTCTATGGGAGGACCAACCCTATGTAATAAGATCTCAGGTGTAAATATCAAACACGGGTATGAGCCCACATAGCATGTATTTCGTTGTATTTTGAAGGGTACAAAGCATCAATATCGAAGTCATACCCACTGGTCATGGATATGTCAGGATCACAAACACATTTGTGAACAGAATCCAGATTAGTAGAAATCAAGTTAACAGTAAGACAGGAATTTCTAACATTCTCGATAGTTGACTCAATCAAGAAAGAAACTCACATGGTATATCTCCAAATGCGCTGGCCAAGAAGATAACTTTTTCTTCCCAGGCCGAACAGTCTTTACCACACGATCACAGCGGACTAGAAGATTCTTTTTAAGCAGCGTGTTGGCAATATCTTCAGGCTCCAAATCTCTATCCGACTCTAGTATGTCTTTAAGTTCTGAATGATTTTTCACAAAAGCGACGAAATCTTTTCCCCTGAAATACTCTACCCGTGTTTCCTGTAGGACAGCCCAACGAGACACCAAGCCTTTATGATCTCTTACTTTCTCGGCAAATAGCTGGAAGACGTCCTTCTTCACACCTTGTTTCTGAAATTAAAAGTAAACAAATGGGGAAATGGGAATTTACAAAAATCATCCCAACCAAAAATTTACAAAAATCACAACCACAAACTGGAAAGTAATATATTTCAACTAACAAGAACCACATAAAGGGGAATATGCAGCATCATAGGAACCTCAGATGCTAACTCTTCATCCTTCCTATATGATAAAACCCTCTTGATTTCCTACCCGTCAAGAATATCTAAACAGCAACTGATTCGAGAAAGGACAACTCTTTACCTGATTCAATACAGCTTTATAACTCTGAGCATTTAAGTTTTTTCTCATTGGCAACTGATTAGTGGACCTCCATTAGCCAAACAAAATTGAAGGTTTTATTAGTGATACAAAAAGGAAGGGAGATGTTCAATAGATACCCTTCAAAATGCTAATTTTTCTTGTTCTTTTCTTGTTTAACTATTTCTTTATGGTCTCAACATGGCTAAGAGTTTCTCTCCATTGATTGTGTAGTTCTGCAACGCAGTCAAAATGGAGAAGTATAGCTATTCATTTTCTCTATCCCTTAAAACTGGACTATGCCAGAAGATTAATAGAAACACTGATAATGTTTGGGAACTAGGAATCTTACATCTTAGAAATGTGTGAATATGTTGATCAACAGATACTATTGAGATCATCTTCTAAACCACTTTTAAGAAAATTACAAAAATGCGACCTCTTCAGATTTAAGCCTATTGAAATGAGGTAACAAAACCTAACTTACGACCTATCTAATAAATATTCTACCGATGGCATCGTAATGAAAAAATTTATAGAACGAAAACAAACTTCCGCATGTGCCTCCCCAAACCAGGGTAGCCCCATTGGTGAGGATGGGGGTCAGAGATTTTCCTTCATCGTTCTACACATAAACTCTTTTCCCTTTTCATATTTGGGCATTCAAATGCTATTAACATCAATTATTTAATTCAAAGAGAGTTAAATATTCAAAAAGTGGAAAGGCAAGTATTTGGGATAAAACAAGAAAGAGAGAATCGCTTGGCATCCCTGGTTTTGTTAGCAAAGAAAATGTACGAAGATAGTTGCCATCACTAATGTGGAAGTGAAACTAGACATGTATAGTCGGGAACAAGCAAGTAATGGATGACCAAGCATTATAGAGCAGTCCAAAGGTCTACTCAAGAAACATACAAGTCAGTCCCCTAATCCATAGCTCAAAAAACTGTCATCTGCATCATATAGTTCCATATATAATGATGATGGCATCTAGGCTAAGCATAATGCCATAATCACATTCTAGGGTATGACAATTGAATCCATTTAATCAAAGAACAAACTAACAAACATCAAAGGGTAAAATCATTTTATATTGAAAAACCTTATATTTTCTTTAATTCAATTATTAGTGACTAATGGAAAAGAATCTGGAAGGGGAACCTTGGAGCAATGGTAAAGTTACCTCCATGCGACCAATATGTCATCGGTTTGAGCCATGGAAGTAGCAACTAATACTTGCATTAAAATAGGTTGTCTACATCACGCCCTTAAGGTGCGGCCCTTCCCGGACCCTGCGAGAATGCGGGATGCTTTGTGCATCGGGCTGCCCTTTTAATGGATGAGAATCAGGTATTGAGTTATCTAGTAATTACTAGTTGATTTTTGCATTTCATTCTTATTTCATGTCTTTTCATTTACGCATGTGAGCACTCATCAGCTCCAATCTAGGAGGACAGGTTTTCGGGATGTTCTTGTTGTCTATAGATTAAATGAAAGATAGATTTAGCAAACTGGAGTCTTTTTCCATCCTATGGTACAATTTAGTATAGCAACTACCATTAAATAGTTATCAGCAATACTGATAAATGAATCGCCTATATATCGAAAGAAAAATTCAATGCATACTAACTGTAAGTAAATAGCTTTTATCATATTTAGCAAATATTTCCTTACATTTCTATATTTCCCCAATAGGGCACGACATTATACCACCAATTCAAAACCAAACAAAAGGAACGAATTGCCCATTAACTATAAAAGCTAAAATGAATTTCAACAATCAAAATCATGGCATACAAAAAACACAGATCCTATGGAAAAATACAAAAAAAAAAAAACACACAAATTAAAATAATGAAATTCACAAAATCAGATCAGAAGAAATTAAATTAACACAATTTTTAGTATGTGTGATGTTTGCTTTGGAATTTACCCTTGGAGGGGTGATATTCGAACCGTTCGATGCAACGCCTGGGGATCGTCTCACCTTCTTCTTCTCTGCTCCGCCGGGTTTCTTCATTTCCGTGTTTTCTCTCTCACACACACACACAGAGAGTAGAAATAAAGCGTTTTTTCCATGTCTCTAGTCTGGGTTTGAGGAGAGAAAATCACAAAAATAATCCTTTACATTTGGGGATTGGTCTAAAACGGTCCATTAGATATATATTTCGGCAGTTTTAGTCCTCCACATTTACTAAAATTAAGCACATTGGATCTCTATTATTATTGTTATTATTATAATTATAATTATATTATTATTATTATTATAACACATGACAGTGTTATGTTTTCACCAAATTAACTCGTGAGCAACATGTGACCTTTAAATTGAAGAAAACCCGCAAAGATCAACTTTTATGAAATTATTTATCTCAACTAAAATTATAGCGCCTTGTAAAAAATTTAAATATATGTAAGCTTAGACTTATATTTAATTTCGTCTTAAATGCATGATATTACGTTAGAATAGTTATATATATATTATTCAAAAGATATTTGGAATAATGAGTGCATTGGGGATGTATTAAGGTGGGATGATAGCCTAAGAAGAGGAATAGTTGAAGTTGAAATGGATATATGTATTGGATAGACATCAAAGTAACATATATTATAACTTCAAAAAGCTACAACTCTCAATGTAGAAAGATTTTTTTTGTGATTTCTGAATGAAAATTATAGCACTTGGATTCCAATTCTAGCTTGGAATCAGCTATGCTTTCCGAAACTCACGAAGTTGTCCTTCTTCTTTGCATTCTATTTTTTCTTAGCAAGCAAAGAACAAAGAAAATCCAATGAATTTCAGAAAAATTAAATAGATATATATACCTGAAATTGTGATATAAGTTGCTAATGTTGAAGTTTGGCAAAATGCCAAAGTCCCACATTGGTTGGGAGTTAAGTTTGGAAGGGATTTTTCCCCTATAAAAGAAGGCCTAATGTTTAGAATTGAAACACACCTCTCATTTGCCTTCTCATCTGTTTAAGGCATTTGTATCTTCTCTCTTTAGTATTATTTCACTTGTATTTTTGGAGTGAAATAAAATATTGGTTGTGTCCGAGGAGTAGGCAAAATTAGCCGAACCTCGTAAATTCTGGTGTTCCCTTTATTGTTGCTTTATTGTCTTATTTATTATTTGGTGGCTGTCATAATTTTTGGTATAGTAGTTGTGACTTATTCACACTATATACATTTGGCTTCCGCAACAGCTAACACTTCGGCAATAGCAAAAGCTTGTGATCTAGAAAAGGCAACGAAGAAGAGCAATTGAAATAAATAGTGAAGCAACAAAACCTTGAATGAGGAAGAAAAAAGGTAAAAGTGAACTATACACCAGCCTCCTTTTCAAACTCCATCTCTGTCACCATTCACTCACCGAAAACTCCCCCATTGACGACCACACCTCCTTTATTGAGTATAGTTATTATTGTTAATAGATTCATTATTGTATTATGTAATATAATTTCTAGTTTGTAGTTAGCTTAGCGGTTAGCCTAGTCAAATTAGTCAATGAGAAATTAGTTTAGTCAACATGTATATATACTTGTACAATTAGTGAAATGAGTTGAGAGTTCACATTTTACAGAAAATATCTCGATTCATTCATTCTCTCTTCTTCCTCTCTTCTCTCAGAATGTTCTAGTAGACTCCATGGGAGCTCTACTCATCTGAGCTTGCATGCATTCTTGATATGGTGTCAGAGCTTGGACATCGGCTCAAATTTCTTCAGCGTCTTCAACTCTCGTTCCAAATTTCATTTAGCTTCGTCAATTTTTAGGGTTTTGGCCATTGCCACCCAATTCTGGAAAAAAAATCACCTCACAATTGAAGGTCTTAGACCTAGCTGAAAACTTTACACTTTTCAAACTCATCGAATCGGAACTTCGCATATGGTTATCGACCAAACTGAAGAGACAACTCCTAACACAAGCAGAAATGACCAATTGGTCATCGATACAGGTAATCCCCTCTACATTCATCCTTTGGATAGTCCTGGGATGACCTTAGTACTAGTTCCGTTCGATGGAATTGGATATCGTTCTTGGAGAAGAAGCGTATTGCGAGCTCTGTCAGTTAAGAACAAATTAGGGTTTATTAATGGGGAATTTAAAAAACCTAGTCCTGATTTACCTTAATTCCGCAAATGGGAGAGGTGTGATGATATGGTAACCTCATGGATCCTCGATTCCCTTGCTAAAGAAATCTCTGACAGTGTGGAGTATGTAAATGACTCGGTCGAGCTATGGAGGGAATTAGAGGATCGTTATGACCAAACAAATGGGGCAAAATTGTATCAGATTTAGAAAGAAATTAATGATCTTGCACAAGGATCCTTAGACATTACCACATATTATACACGAATGAAGAGATTGTGGGAAGAATTGAACACCTTGAGTGTTAAATCTCAGTGCAGTTGTAATTGCACATGTGGAGTAAAAGAAACTATGTATAAGGCAGAACAGGATCGACGACTTATCTAATTTTTGATGGGATTGAATGAGGTCTATACAATAGTACGAGGAAGTATTCTTATGATGAAGCTTTTGCCCTCTATGGCACAGGCTTTCTCCCAACTAATACAAGAGGAAAAACAAAGGGAATTCAAGCCTAATGGTCAACTCAGTCTAGATTCCACTTCACTGCATATAAATGCAAGTCCACAGAATCAAAATCCATATGGAGCCAGAAACTTTAAAACTCACTACGCAGCTAGCAACAATAGTAAGGGTCGTCCATTCTGTGATTATTGCAAAAGACCAAGTCATACAAGGGAGAAGTGCTACAAGTTACATGGTGTAACGACCCGTCCAGTCGTTTTGAGCGTTTGCACTTTGATCGCCAGATTTCGGGCAGGACTAGCCCCGTGTGATGTATTATAACTTGTGTAAATTGTTGGTTTGGGTTTTCAGGAAAATCGGAACGAATTTGGAAGAACAATTCTCAGTTTGTAGCTTGAAATTTGAAAGGTTTGACAAAGATTTGACTTGTTTGTATATGATATCTTATCAGAAATTTTATGATTTGCTTAGCTCCGTTGGGTTATTTGGGACTTAAGAGCATGATTGGAATGCATTTTGGAAGCCCGTGGAAGATTTAGGCTTGAATTGGCAAAATTGAGATTTCGGCGTTTTCCGGTTGATAGGCAAAATTTTGATATAGAGGTCGGAATGGAATTCCAAGAGCTGCAGTAGCTTCGTTGTGTTATTTGGGATGTGTGTGTAAAGTTTCAGGTCATTCGGACGTGGTTTGGTTGGGTTTTTTATCAAAAGTGTATTTCGGAAGATTTTAGAACTTAGGCCTGAATCCGAGGTGTTTTGGTTGATTTGATGTTGTTTGAAGTGTTTTGATTATTGGAACAAGTTTGAATAAGGTATTAGGATATGTTTGTGCTTTTGGTTGAGGTCCCGGTGGCCTCGGGGTGATTTCGGGTGCTTAACGGAGAAATTAGATGCTGGTTGCAGCTTCAGATTTGCTGCTTCTGGTATTTTTGCATCTGCGGTTTGGGGACCGCAGATGCGGGTGATTTATCGCATAAGAGAAAAAGGGTTAGATGGGCAGAGACCGTAGAAGCGGTATGGTGACCGCATATGCGATGCGAGAGATTAGTCACAGAAGCGGCTTTGGTCCCTTAAGTGATTCCGCAGAAGCGGAGGTTTAGACCGCAAATGCGGTAACGCAGAAGCGGATCTTTGACCGCAAATGCAGAAAGGGCTGGACAGAGCATATATGTTATTTCATTCGCGAGTTTGGGTTATTCCACCATTTTTGACTTCGACCTTGGAGTTTTTGAGGCGATTCTGAAGAGAGAATCAAGAGACTTGGTTAAGGTAAGGAATTTCAGACCTAAAACACATTTCTATGGTGGTATTTCATGAATTTAGACTGAAATTAAAGGAATTTAAGGGCTAAAAATGGAGGATTAGGGCTTGAGTTTAAGAGGCCTTAGATTGAGGATTTAAGGGGTTATTTGAACTCCCATTTTGGTATTCTTGATATGTATAGACTCGTGGGGAGATAAGGAATCTAATGATGTGAAAAATTCCGAGTTTCAAGAAGTAGGCCCGAGGCTCGGGTTTTGCTAATTTCGGGATTTTTGGTATTTTTCGATTGTTTTCACTTGGGATTTGTTCTCTTGGTATATTATGACGTATTCGTTCTGATTTTGTATAGATTCGACGCGTGTGGAGGTCGATTTGAGGGGCAAAGGCGTCGCGAGCTAGAGATTTAGCCGGTTCGAGGTGAGTAATGATTGTAAATGATGCTCCGAGGGTTTGAAACCCCGGATTGCACATCGTAGTGCTATATTGAGGTGAGACACACGCTTGATGGCGAGCGTGGGGTCATGCCCTATTGGGGATTGTGACTTGGTCCGTCCCGATTGATGATTTTATCGCGTATTTGACTGAAACTTATTTGCTATCTTTATGATTTGGGCTGATTGCCATATTTGGGCTTCGTGCCAACTATTTAAACCCTTCGAGAATTTTAATTACTATTTCCTCACTGTTTTGACTTATTACTTGAACTCAGTCATGTTATTTTCTACTGTTTTACTACTCAGCCATGTTTACTCAGTTTTAAGACTTAAATGATATTTTAAATGATGTTTTGGGCTGAGAAACACTGTTTTACTAATGCCCGAGGGGCTTGTGAGTATTTTGATTGAGTAAGGCCGAGGGCCTAGTTGTGAGGAAATATTAATATTGATTTGAGGTCGAGGGTCTGAGATATGTACGCCACGAGGTGGCTTGTTGATATCGTTTATGAGGCCGAGGGCCTGAGATATATACGCCACGAGGTGGCTTAACTGATATGAGACCGGGGGCCTAGATTTGATGTTACGAGTTGGCTTGATATTGCGCTTGGGCCGCAAGGGGCCCCTCCCGGAGTCTGTACACACCCAGTAAGCACGGGTACCCATTGTAATGTGAGATATAGCTCGAGGGGCGGATATTGTACAATGTAATAGCCCGAGGGGCTGGTATTGTTCTATGTGATTGCCCGAGGAGCTGGTACCGTTCTATGTGATTGCCCGAGTGGCTGTTATTTTTCTGAGATATTGCCCGAGGGGCGGAGTTGTTGACATTGTGCCCGAAGGGCAAACCTTTATGTGTTTACTTGTCATTT